GAATCGAGGAATGCTGGAACAAACATCAACTGTTCCTCTTGGTGGAACTTTCGAGGAGGTAAGGCGCGCTATCGAATGTCCAGACTCCGCGTCGGGGAATCATGCGATGCGTCCATCCTCGGTCCTTGGTCGCTTCCTAGTCGTCAGCTTTTCTGCCATTTTCCCTCCTCGGGGAACAGAGAACCGTCTCTAATCTGTGATTATTAAAAAAAAGGCCGTCAGAGCTCTCCTCGAGACAAGACATCATCTTTTTTCTCGGGACTGTTACCATCTCTCAATCCCTTGGCTCCTCGGCGAATGGGAATGATCGCCTCCTCGTTCGACCCCCTGTTCCCGTTTTCACGCGTATGGAGCGCGGGTCGACGATCGTATTGCGTTCCTTATCTCCCGATAGAGTAGGAATACCCGCTTGCGATTCGGATCGACGCAGCTCGCTTCGTTCGGGGACCTCCATCATCGAGCGAATCCGCGCAAACGGACTACTGAGTCAGCAGAGGAACTGCGTTCCGTTCCATCGCCCACGGACGAAATTTTCGTAGGATTTCCAATGGACCTTCAACGAGTGACCGACCATCATTATTATCGAATTATTCTCCAGCGAGGAGCTGAACAACGGCTGGAGCGGAGACTGAGCAATTCGATTGTCAGGGGAAGCCACCGGACGTCTTCAATTCTATTTCTCAAGTTTTTCCTCTTTTACGTAATTCGAATTTCTGTTCGTCTCTTTCGTCCGTTCTCGGAAACGTTCGAGCGCAGAAGTTTTTCTTCTAGAATCTCAGAAGAATCACACGATGAAAAACGACACCAGAAGAGGAGAAGAGCGGCTCGGATATTGACGCGCTGTGTCATCGCCCGCCATAGAGGTGACCTTTGCTCCATTTTTCCCCTTGGATTTTACACTTTCTACTCGCATCATAGTCACACGATTCCGATGGAGTCATGCCCCTATGACCATTCAGGCGCCAGAAAGGGCGACTGTCGCTCCGAAACAGTTTTGTCACGGAGCTTGGTGTCGACGTCTGTTCTGCCGTCGGGAAATCTTCACAGATTCCCGTTCGTGATCAACAGATATATTTTCTTTTCTTCGGATCCCTCCTTGAGCGGCTGAGAATGAACCAACCGTCCAAATTCTGTGTATCGGTCAAGTTCGGGAGCGAGGCCATACTCGAGCGCCTTTCGACGTCCACTGCTCTTACATTCTAATGTTGCATTTCCGACTTTCAAAATAGATCCACAGGCTTTCGAAATCAACGCGACGGGGTTTCTTACGCTCAAAATGCAGAAATCCAACTAGATACAAAGATTCACAGAAGACAGAGGTTCACTATTCGGCAGTTGATGTCGACCATGTGTAGAAGATCTCCAACGGAGACAGAAGTTGCGATGACTCAATCAGAAGCGATGGCGGCAGTAGTAGCTATCATACCTCGTTGTTAGATCTGACTTTCATAACGGTAATGATCCCTCGATCGATCGTGGCTCACTGACTCCGAGCACCCTGTAGATATCGCAATAAGATCGTCGGTTTCTGGCAAAATTCATGACGAGAGGAAAACCAGACTATTTTGACGCGCACGCGCCGCGAGCCGGATTCCAGGAGGCAGAGCCACCTCCGACATTTGTCGTGAGCGGCCAATAGGCAATTCTTTTGACTCATTAGGAACAGGTTTCGAGATGCTCGGATGATGGATAGCACACGAGTACACCATTATGAAATGACGAAGGGATGACTGTTCGATTCCACGAAGTTCTCGCGACTGTTTTCGATTCCATTTCTTGTTCGACTCGGATACGATGCGAATCAGCTCACCGCGGTCTGTCTCAGTTCTTAGACGATCCATCATCGATTGCCGCGAGGCGTTGTGTGTCTGACGTACTCTGTCGTTCCAGAATACGAGAGTGTTTTTAGAGGGATAAGCTTGTGCTGGGCCCTGGGCCCCACCCAGAAAAACAATCCAGGGGAGAATGAGCTACGGGTGTCTCTGTGTGATCGTTGAAAGCACGGCAGACAAGAATTAAATTTCCGATTTCCAAAACAATTCGTCTGTGCCGGTACCGGGGAAGCCTACCGCATCAGGAGAGATGTACTTTTTAATTGTCTTGCTGATTTGACTTATTCATGCCCTCATTGTTACGTGACGCGTTTCCGGACAATGAGAATATGCATCAAGACTCAGCCATAGCCGCCGCGCATTCGACGGCTTCGAGCAAGTGCGCGGTCCGCCATTCACCCGAAAACCCCATGGAACAGAATTTGGGAAATTCCTCTCCAAGCTCAGACTTCTGGAAGAGCTGAATGCTCTGACTGGGAGCGTTGGCATTCACACGATCCTTTCACGCATTCAACTCTATCCGGTCGCCGAGCCTGCTGCGGTATGGAACGGCGTGTTCCTCTAGCAATGATCCGCCTGGCAATAGCAAACCATCACTACAAGTAAGCCACGTTCCTGAACGTGCTCTACAAGCAAATTAGAAATCAAAGCTCGCATATCATTCCGACAAACAATCATCCACCACGAGGGTCATTTAGTCAGCGAGCATTCACGCAGGCCGCCCGTTGACAACACAATCGTGCGGATCGAAGCTCAAGTGACCTTTGAGCTGAGACATCGATAGAGAAATTTACACGGGATTGGTTTCGTTGATTTGTTCAACATCGACCCAATCAAATAATGTCGATTAACTAATTGTAAATCCTCGATCAATTGCCGAGAGGCGTGTAGAAACTTAATCGTGTCATCCCGGATGTACACCGAGACGTGCATGTTTTCGATGCGTTTTGCCATCGGTCTGGGAAAAATCCTTGAGCGTAGAGCTCAACTCCCCCAAGACAATTATCTTCTGCGACGGTCTTTTGACTATTGCTGCATGCGACTCCAGGGCTTCCGGTACGGGTCTCGGTGAATTCTAATTACTTGGAGATGCTGATTGGTTTTCGGCGGAATCGACTCGGATATTTTCTCAATCTACTAGAAGCGCGACCCATGCACGAGAACAACGCAGAAATGATTCTGGGAGAATGCCAAACACTTCTGACCACAGATCATTATTTTTCTCAAGTATTTGAAATATGTACGAGGAATTTTCACCGGTTCAAATGCATCACCGGGTTTCAACTGACTGGAATAGGTAATTCAGGGACGTCCTACCGATGTTGCGACGCTGCGATATCGGACGACTTTTTCTTATCGCTGAATGCGATTCCCGCCACCGCTCGTTCCCGGCTCTACGAGAATATGGGAAATTCTGCCGGTTGGTCTCATTCGTGAGCGTCCTCGTTGTTGAGGCGAAGTTGCTGAAATGGGGTCTGAGGTACAAAAAAATGTATGACATCCGTCGAAAAAAGTATTGTCCCGTTATTATCCGTATAAAGATGGTTTCCACTGGGAGAGTCCATTCGCATGGTGAGCTCGAAGCCCGAATTCCCATCCACGACAGTTTCCAGCTCTGAGAATCCGGGAAGCCAAGTATGAAGTTGCGCACGAAATCGAATCGACAATTAGCAGATGCACACGACCTCAGTGCCAAGTGGAGGTATCCTTCCGGAGGGCCTTAGGTCCAGATCGTCGCTTGCGACTTTCTCGAAAATTCGCTGCCGGTGTTCCGGACGTGTTGGTCGCTTATTTGTTTGCGAGATTGTATGGACTTGATGCTGGACACCAAATATATCCAGCATGAATTTTTTGACTTTTGTGTGGAGGAGTGTTGAAATTACAGACAGAAACTTCTGAAGAAATAAGTACTGAATAGGATCCTGCCCCGGGTACTTTTGGCTTTTCTTTCCGTTTAGTCAGATATTTTGAAAAGCTGCAACAAGCCGTCACATGTCGTTGTCCATTACGATGCGATTTCCATCACGGGCTTCTTCAACTTTCTCATCGTCGGCGTCGTTTCGTGGACGAGGTCCCTAACGAGCGGCCGGTGATTTTTCTGACGGTTTTCTGCGACAGTTCGGGTCGGTGTGAAATTGAGCAAAGCCTCATCAGAAGATTCGTGGGAGATATTGTTGGGCTACAAGGAATTGTCATCGGGAACGCAGTGGAAATTTCCCCACTCAGTCAAGTCAGATGAGAAGTCGGGGAGATCGTGTATCAACAGAGCGAGTCGAACGCTCGTATGCAATTGTTCGCTAAACAAATCGATGGTCAGCCGTACGTAGCTTCGAGGTATCGAAGCGCCGAGCCCGTGATGTCACTCAGATCCTGAAGCTCTCGCGAGCACATGTTTCGATGGAGAAGGCAGTCTGGAACTCCCGCATCGAGGGATTATTGCCGAATCTTCCCACTCAGAGATCGTTTTTTTTCCCCAGAATAACGCGGAGCAGTCTTGGGAGGAACACGGACCGCCTGGATTCACCGCTCGCAGACACTCAAATGGACCAAAGGGAAAAAATCCATTCGGACAGAAAACCGCGCGCTATCCCGCGAAATAATATCGACGGATTCGTTTGTCTACGGTCCCAATAGACCAACTTGTGCTCCAAATGACGTCACTCGAGTTCAAGACGACCGTCTGCCCGATCGTTCGGTCATCCTGTTCTCGTGTGCAGTTTGGCTGCGGGGCATCCCGTAGGACTGCCTGACGTTCCTGTCCCATTCGGACTCCGTCGTAGCGGAGAAGAGACGACGAGAATGCAGGGATCCTTTTTTTGGTGGTCATTCGGAATTTCCCTAAGTGAGCTCTCTTCCGGGTTCGTGGGATGACCGGCTTGCATAACCTGGCCGAGTCGGCCGATCGGTTCGCCGTTGCACAATCGGTTGTGCTCACGGCTCTTGTACAATACCTCTCACTTAGTCTACGGCCATAGAGCACGCAGACACAAACAGTCACGGCGTTGAGGGTCATCTCGTCCGTCGCCTCCTCCTTCGCCGCCTCCTCCGCCAACGACATTGGCTATAAAGTGCGCCGTCGAACCCTCACTCCCTCACACAACTATCACAGTCTTGCCGGGCGGGCATAGCACCACCGACCAATGTGCAGTTGATATAAGGAAGTCCACCATGAAAGTGTTCTTGTCTGTCAGTTTGTGCGTGTTGCTTCTGAGTGACTTCGGTGCGTCTCGGAGTCTCGGACCACTCCATCGAGGAATACGCAGTGCCGATGTGACTCCCACGCCTGAATCCAGCCCGGAAGGAGTTTCCACGAGCTCGGAGAGCGTCGAGGAGAAAACTCCCAATCCATCCACTGGGGCTCCGACCGAAACTCCGAGCACGACTCCCGCTGGAAGGTCATCTCCCGAGGCATCGTCGACGCCGGCTGCGAGTGTCGAGCCGAGCGCAGCCCCGGAGGTAACCAGCAGCGCTCCTCCGAGCTCTACAGATGTCGGAACGCCGGAAACTGTTTCGGTTGCGGAAACCACCTCGAAAGCCGCTGGGGACCCGGTCCCGGCCGAGACAAGACAACAGCCTGGAGAGCTCTCCTCGGAGACGACCTCGGAATCGACCAGAGACGACTCGCCTCCCCAAGAAACTGAAACAATCGTTCCGAAAGCCGAGTCGATCACCCCTGCCACATCGACAGAGATCGTGGCCAGTGTGACGTCGGTTGCGGACGTCAGTTCCGAAAACGCAGCGGTTTCTCAGGAGAGCAGACTCGATGAGTCGTCTCCAGATGGCGGTTCGACGCCCCCGCCGGTCGAAGCTGCCAAGGAGGTCGTCTCTCCTTCCGAGGAGAAGCTAGACATGACTGAAACTCCGAAGTTGCAGCCGATGGAGAACGCGGAAATCGTAAAAGTTCTCGTGCCTCTGGCCCCGGTTACGATATTGTCGTCGGCAGCTCCCGGTAGTCCGCAGGCCAAATCTCTGCGCGACGAGGATCCGTCTTTCGGGGCATCGAATCCGGATTTCGTCGTCGTGCCGGCTCAAGTGATCCACATCGACGGAACCACAGCTAGTTCCGTGAGTTCCACCGATGCGATCTCCACGGAAGTACCGGAGCTGGCCGAAGTTGCGAAAGGCGAAAACGGTCTCCTGGAAACAGCATCTCCCCCGGTGGAGCAGGCTCCAGAGTCGAAATCGGGACCTGCGGAAATTGGCTCCGAGATGCCGAGTACGTCTCCCGCTCCTTCGACCGCAATATCCGTGACAAATGAGGAATTGAGTGAAGTCCCAAGTTCAACTGGTGCACCTCAGACGACGATGGAAGGGGTGGAGGATTCGGCGAGAGCATCGTCCACTGCGCAGCCCGTCGAAGTTGTCGAGAGCGCGGCCAGTCAGGAACCGCCGAGGAGTGATTCGCGGCAAGAGACCCCAGAAAAGAAGAGACCTACCTCCACAACGGAGTCGGCCGAGGCGGTAACCTCACAAGAAACGAGCTCCACGGCCGCGCCAGAGAGTCCTACGACAGCCGCACCAGAGAGTCCTGCGCCGGCCGCGCAAGAGAGTCCTGCACCGACCGCGCCAGAGAATCCCGCGCAGCCGGCTCCAGAAATTGCCGCACAATCGGCTCCAGAAATGACCTCACAGGCCGCTCCAGAAAGTCCCGCAAAGCAGGCTCCCGAAACTACCCCACGAGCCGCTGCAGAGAGTCACGCACCGGCCGCTCGAGAAGATCCCGCACCAGCATCTTCGACAGTCCCCCCGACGGAAGTTCCATCTAGTTCGGAAGAACCCTCGAAAACCTCCGTGCCATCCGCAGAGAAGATGAACTGAACGAAACCAATGCCGAAGTTCCTCATTAGAAAGTGTACCTTAGTATTGTAAAGTGAATACATGTGGAATATATATTGAATCACCACATCCTGAAACTCGGTGTTTTCATTCGTCGAGGCCCTGAGAGTCTCGGAGTTCGCGGTAGAAAATTCCGGGATCCCTTAACATGTAAAATCAATCGGGAGTCTGGAACCATATCGCGAACCTTGCTGTACTTCCAGAATATTTTTTTTCTCGGTGAGGATACGAGCGTCGGAAGAACAAGCTGACGTGTCAATGCCACCGCGCGAATCGATTCGGCGGCTTCTGTCTCGTCGCCGAAGTTCATCTCGGGCGTGATCGTTATTCTGAGGGAAGTGGGTCCTCGAACAAAAGCCTGCCGAATATGAAGCTCCGTGGGTATATTTATGGTCATGCTTGTCGCCTTGTCTCTTCTATCTTGATTGTCCCTTCGGTGGCTCGATCGCTCACGAGTAGAACGCACTCACTCCTGTATTTCTGGGAGTACCCAGGGTGTAATCACCTGGCGCAGATCCCACCGGCGTCGAGGAATCGGAAGCAGACAGAGTCGGTGAAAGTGAATTATAGTGTTCCGAATGATCTAATTGAGTAGACGAATACGCCTCGCTCTCTCGACAGGAATTTCAAGAGGAGAACTTGTCCCATGGCGAGTACCTGCGACGATCTTCTTCTTCTCGGAAAGGTTCAGAGAGTTGCTGTACCGTAGTATGGGTCTCCGGAGGAGCAGCAGCTTGCTCCAAGTTTCCAGTATATACACCCACAACACTCATTCAATCGTCTGGTATTCCATTCTTATGAACGATAGCATCACACTGGAAGCGAGCACCTCCGAGGTCTGACTATCCATTTTGGAATTTATGCTCGATCACAATATCAGGGAGGAAAGCGTTTTTGTGGCTTACATGTGTGCCGATCGACCGCCCATCTACGAGAAGCTCGCCTCCCTCCACGTGTGTGAAGGAGGAGTCCAAGACGATCTCCACCTTTGGAAAATCATGATGCTGACATCCTCTGCACGACGTCGTAGTTTATTCCCACAACGATCGTCGCAAGATGGGCTCTTTGAGGTAGAGTCCGGATTTCCTAGAATACGATGACCCGACGTTCCGAAATGTGTTTTTCCAGCTGAGAGCATTCGAGCGTTCCAGCGTCAAATCTATGAGAGATTATTCATCATCGGTATTTTTTCTCGTTTTTCTGTTCCTCCGAAATCCGCATAATATCTGTCCTCGGACCGAGGCTTTGTGGCTCAACTCTGCGCATTTGGCACGATTCGTCGCCTCTCGCGGCTACCCACATCACAATATTCGGCGTACTCCTCCCAGGAGCAACCGTCGTTCTGATGGCAGCACTCATCCATGATACCAAGCTCCTTCCGCTTTCGGCGACCACCAGACGCTTTTCTCAGGAGTTGCAGCGCCTGAGAAGCTGGTTGACCGTACCGGCCTGAGGATCGAAAGGATTCATTGGAGTTTTTCCTTGAACAACGCTCATCCGTTCAGGACGCCGTGCCGATTTATTCATGGAATTATAATGGGACTTCTCGTCTTCATCATGCCGAGGCGTGAGCGGAGCGGTTCCTTCAGAGGAAACGAATCGACAAACCGGTTTCTTCATTCGTCGCAAAAACTTACCGAGCCTGTTCCTCTCATAGAAGTCCTCGTCTAGCGAATCTGCATCTTCGATCTCGTGCTCTACCTTGCGAAGAGCATAGAGTAGAGCGGTTGGCAAGCGATGCAATCCTGCGGAGCGGCCGAAGGGACCGGGACTCCTCCCCGATCTTTTAGCCAAAGATAAACCGCTACGGCAAAACCACTCCATATGAGTCTGGAGATCGCTGTAGCACCTGGGAAGCGGGTCGCGTTCATTGCATCGAGTGCTTATCTCAGCCGGCATCTCATCGGAGGGAGCTATCCTTTCTTTCGTCTTTGAAATTAGACGATTGATAAACATCATCCGAGGCTGGGTGAACTCACCGGCGGTGTTTCTCGACGTTCCATAGACGACCCCAGTCGTCCAGAGATCGCGCTTCGAATTTCTGTCTCCATTCATCGAGAGCTTGTTGACCGAGAAGGATTCCTTGATTCTCAACTCCGTGTGGAGACAGGAGAGAACTCACGTCAAACTCTTTGGATCCCACTGTCGGACTGTTGCCGACGAAAATGGTGAAGACACTAGCCAGAACGGTCGTCAAGCTCCTGCCTGTGCTAGCCCCCAACATTTCCTGGCTGACCTCAGAGCCTGCGCGAAGGAAATCAACATATGAACGTGATCGCTCACGAAAATAAGCAGAATCCCAAAATCGTGACCGGGACAACAGGAATAATGGTAGTCTTGTAGGCCTTCCAGCAAGCCGTAGGTCCGTCATGGAAAGAGCCCGCATACATATACAATTCTTAATCACTGATCACCGTCCATCTCTCCGTGATCGCACGGTAAAACAAACGAATACATAAAGAGATAATCGCCTGACCATAGCCAGAGCTGCAAAGTTCAGGCTCCATTCGTCCAAGAGATTCTATAGCCCACATCCGAAAAACGTTCCTCACTCTGACGGATTCCTCGCGAGAATAGCGGTGATCGTCTCCGATGACTTCTCGGGTACGTAGATGACTTCCCGGAGAAGACTAAAAACTATGCCGGAACAAATCCGAGTCGATGAATATCCGCATATTCCAGCCATCTCTCATGCGTGCAGCGGATTTGCATCAAAACTTCACTTTGCAGACGTTTCGTAGATACCTGAGCATTGCACGGCAGATGTTGTCCCGAAGCCTCCGACGACGCAAACTGCTCCGATCTGAGAAGGAATCTTCTTTTATAGCGTCTCGGCTCCTCAAACGTCCCGATGACGTCCCCGATCTAGGAGTCGGTAAGCTCCCAGGTATTGTCGTATGCAGAACTTTTTCCTTCGCTTCACGCTTTTTCTCAATCAATGCAGCGACGAAGCTGGCTTTGCGAGAACGCAGGCTGCCGGGGGAGGGGTGTGTCTACGATAAGGGTGCCCGTGAGGACGATTTACGACTCCGTACGATTCTTTTCATATGCGTATCGAGCTTTTTAAAATTTGTTTAGACGATGTTTTCGAGCCCCGAGCTTGGCCGACGGAGACAGCATCTCTCAGCAGGCGAGCCGTACGCATCTTATGACATTCCGAGGAAATCTCTGGAATTGAGCCTCGCGTGTTCGGATTCTCGAACTCAATGAGATTATGGACATGAATTGAAAACTTGCATACGAGAAGGTGTGTAGAGACACCTTATGGATGACCCTGAACGAAATAGGGGTGAACCCAACTTGGATAGAATTGCTTCGGAGAATCTACTCGGGCACCAGGAGCAAACTGATGTCCGGGGATAGAACTTCGGGATGGATAAAAACCACAGAGGGACTTCGTCAGGGATGTCCCGCAAGCCCGATTCTATTCCTTCTCTACATCTCCGCGCTCGAGGCCCGTCTACAGAACAGTGGATGTGCTTTCAGAGTAACAAAAAGAGGAGATTTCTGGAATGTCAGAGAAAAGAAGTTCTTCAACATATCCGGACTTTTGTTGCCGATGATCTCATCCTGATCGGAAGGAATTACTCGGAGCTGGAAAAATTGTTAGAAATCACGTCCCAGTTTGGGGACGAGATGAAACTGACTTTTAATCCAGCGAAAAGTGCGGTTGTGACCTTCTCAAAGTGCGGTATAGGCACAGAGAAACGTCTACGGGTCCAAGGTCGAGATATACCAAGAGACACGCAATACAAATACCTGGGAATTACTGTACCAGATTCTGGCCACTACCTAGATGCCCAGGAGGACATCTGGGCAGAGAAATCTCAGAAAGTTCTGAACCAATTGCGAGCGAGAGCACTATCGGGATTCAATAGGTTCGAAATCTCCAAGACCCTATGGAAGGCGGTAGCCGTACCAGCGCTCACCTACGCTAACGCGGTAACAGTAATGACACGGACTCTGGAGAACAAAATATCAACAGCACAGAACGAGGCGGGAAGGTACGC